GTAAAAAGCAATGTTTTATGTATTTATAAACTAGTAGCAAAATTATAACATAGAAATGCAGGAGCAGACATAAGTAGCATCAGTCAGGTACAATGCATTAATTGACAAATTTCTGATATTCTCTTTGCTCATTTAAATTATTGAAGTATTAATAGAAGCAGTAAAGTTCAAAGTTGGCAAGTTTCATGTAGAATTTTTTTTTTCAGAGGAAAAACAATGAATGATATAAGTAGTAAAGAAATATCCTAGGTAAGAGGTGCATTGAAACATGCCAGCATTATGTTAGCAAGGTGGGATTAGATGGCAACTAAAAATGACCTCAGAATTAAAAAAAAAAAGGGAAAAAAGTAATAGTAAACATCTTTCTCTATTTTGTTACACATCTCGCAATCTCTATTTTCTATAATCTACAAATTTTAGGGATGCAAGTGGAAAATTTAGAAAACTATACAGTTGTCAAGGCGGTCACCTAGGAAACAAGGGATTTTTTGACTTCATTGTTCTTTCATTGACTACTACTAGTTGAACCCTTTTCTTGTATGGTCTTTTCCTATCAAAACTTGCAGGTTTACAAACATCATAGCCCTCTTTTTGTTGGTGAAGATGGACCATTGGGTTCGAAGTGGTGAAAAGTGTACTTGTCAGGGTTGTTTTTTCTTGGATGATATCTGTATAGGCCTATAGGGTATCAGTTTTTTTGGAGGCAGAGGTGTCTATTCCAGGTGTTTTGCACATAGTTGAGAGGGGAAGTTTTTTTTATCAGTAACTGTGATTCTTTATCACTTATATTGAAAAATAATATGTACAATTATGTGTTGAGCATCCCCTGGTTGGTCTAGTATCACTAGCCACCCTTCCTGTTAGTAGAAAGCCTTATGTGCTGATTCGGCCAAGCTTCTTGTGAAAGGAAGAGGAGAAAGTTGGGGGTTTCAGCAATAGACAGAGGAAATGGAAGAAAAGGAGAAGAAKGTCAACTAGGATAGTGATTCATAACCCTAGCCGCCAGCCCCTCATTCTATTTATAATTAACTTAAATATGAGATATTACAAAGATGCCCTTAGTAGGGCGGCAACTCAAACTAAGTACTTACAATTCTTTTAAAAATAAAAACTAATGAGCCCAAGGCCCAACAACTTCTTAATTTAAAAGAAAACAAACTAAACATAAATCGGCCCACTCAACACTGTTATTTGCAAGTTGTTAAAGGACCACACCCCAGAATATCTGTTCACTATTGGCTCCTTGTTCTGATAAGTGATAACCTATCTGCTAGATAATTAGAAGTCCTTGGTGTCCATTTATAACATGTTCCAATTTCCTCCTTTGGTTGTTTTATCCTCTCACAATTCCTCCATAAATTCACAATGCTGTATCCGGTTTCCTTAACCATCCCACAATTGCTTTATAGTCCTCTTCTCCTCCAAACTGTGCCAGTGCATTGACTTAGCTAATCTTAGCCATGTATAGACCTTAGTTCTTCTCTAGTGGAGTTTCCTTGGCCCATTGGCATTGAATATAGTCATCATATCACCTCCTTCATTTCTGAAAGCTCCCCCTATTCCAGATAGACATGGATTCCCAATGCTATAGCCATCAAAGTTGAGCTTGATTGATCCCCTTTGTGGTGGTGACCCAACAAATGGTAGGAATGGATCTAGATGCTGATGATTTAGCCACCTGCCAATGCATTGATTTGGCTAATCTTAGATCATTTTATATAGCCATTAGTTCTTCTCCAATGGAGTTTCCTTGACCCATTGGCATTGAGTATAGTCATTGTATAACTTCCTTCATTTCTGAAATCTCCCCCTATTCCAGATAGACCTGAATTCCCAATGCTACAGCCATCAAAGTTGAGCTTGATTCAGCCCCTTTGTGGTGATGAGCAACAAGGGATAGGAATGTATCTAGATGCTCATGACTTAGTGACCTGCCAATGCATTGATTTAGCTAATAGACCAAGTAATATAACAATTAATTCTGCTCTAATGGAGTTTCCTTGACCCATTGGCATTGAGTATAGTCATTATATCACCTCCTTCATTAGGATAACCGTGCCAGAACCGGAGTTGCCATGTTATAGACTTACAGTTACATCAGAGAACTGCCATCCTGTAGCAGATTTTTGGGTTTTTCTCAGCAAATGCATCTTGTTGGATCTTTTTGTTTACAATAAACTCTTTGTATTTCATTTCATTCTTTTTTTCCTTTTGTTCACTTTTAGTAAAATTTTCTCATCCTTGGTCAATCTTGAGATGGAAAGCATGAGAATGGGGGGTTCAAGTCTGAGGGTGGCCACTTTGTCCATAAAAATGCCAAAGGTTAGGACCATAGGACCATACCCAGTCTATCGCTCCCAAGAGCCAGATAGCTGGGGCCAACATGGAGCTAATGGCCTTTTTTTCTCATCCAGTCATCCTTGATCAAAAAAATGTGCACATTCTCAGGGTGAGGCTGAGGAGGGGGAACGATTACAAACTTAAGATACATCATCCACTTCTACACAAAACCAGGAGTTAGATATACTTTCATATGAGGAATATTTAGTACAGAAACCTCAGAAGATCATAACGGATTTGACTGACCATAAATCAACTTCATACAAGATCTTCTGGTCATCTCCTGAAGGAAAATTATCAACTACCAACTCCAACTCAGTAATTAATACCTTGCTCTAAGGAAGTACAGTGTGAAAATAAGGATTTCAAAAACTCATGTTAATAGGGTAACCAGAAAGGATATACTTCTTACTCAAAAGATTTTTTAGTAGACATCGGCAGTCTGTATAAGTCAAAATATGGGCCTTTGTTGCAAGACAAGAAAAGCAGATGTGAGGATCCTGGATGCAAAGACTTGTAGCTTGTGGTGCTTTTGGATAAACGAAGAAAGTAATCTCTAATAAAACTCAAGCGCAGATCCAAAAGAAAAGTACCAGACAGCATACTGGAAATTGTCTCTGCCTCATCTAAATTGAAGATCTATATAGAAATTAAAGAACCGCTTGCAATCCGGAGATTTTTGAACTTCAATTGCCAAGCCATTAGAGAACTCAATCCCTGTACTTCTTCTTTCGGATACTGTTCTGTACACCTTCCCCAGTACCTTAGAGTAGGCCTCTTAACAATTCTAGCACAAAGTCAAGAACCAAGATTGCAGACTACAATGGATCATCAGTTTTATGCTTATCGCAGTGCTTAAGACGCAGTCACCTGGTTCTCAATTCATTACAATACAAATAGAATGAAGAGAAAAAAAAAAAAAAAAAAGCTAAATTTGGCCGCGTTAACTCACCAAAACGTGGAATAACGCAGAACTATTATTATACGAACTCCAATTATATAGAATTATAAATAGAAGGGTAGATGGAAAAAGCGAACAAATTATTATCAGCAAGAAGAGATACTTGAACCCTGTTAATAGATGTGTGAGAGAGAAGGCACCTGGAGAGAAGAAGGGTCGCCGTGGCGGAGAGGGTCAACGGAGAGAACGACCTTGGCAACGGGGTGAGAGTCGGAGGCGTGAACCTGCCAGGACTTAGAGACGACGAGAGGACACTTCATCAGCCACACCGATCTCTCTGCTTTTCCCGTCTCAAAGGTGTTGCTATTCTCTTCCTCCATGATAAATTTGACTTCAACGTCGCTACCTCTCTCTCTCTCGTCTGTGCTACTTTCGAGTTCGTAAGTCTTCAGAGAGACATTGGAAACGTCAGTTTTGAGATGGTGTAGAGATTGAAGTCATTGTTCAACTGGAACTCCACAGTTCGGACAACCAGCCAGGTGTTCCACTGACTGCAACTGGAACGAGGAGAAACTTCAGATCCCTACAGGAGCCTCTTGATGAAATGATTATGACCGTCGGATTAATGGATGACTTCTGACATTACTTAAGCGATCAAGAGATTCAAGACGAATCTTCGCTTACCAAAAGGAAACCTATAGGTTTGATGGTCAATGCTATTTTGCCTGTCCAAAAACAAAAATAAGAACAAAAAAGGTCAATGTCTGGTTCGGTTTCTTCCTGCGCGCCCCACAATGTCCCACAGTACATCCCGATCTTGAATCGGGAACATCTGTGGATAATGTTTCATTATTTTCCGTATTATTATTGGGATATGTTACTAATGCAAGGTCGGGATGTAATGTGGGGCACCTCTTAGTGGGGCGCAGATATTAACTCGCCGGATCCGTTGATGACAGGATTGTCGAGAATGTCAATGTGGTGGGCGGACTGAACCTGTTAGTCTGTTACCGTGGGTGGATGATTAAAAACCCGTTTGGGAGGAGACCCGGATCTCCTTCCAACAGATAAAACTGATCCAACACGATCTCTGACCGCACATTTCCAGTCTCATGGAGAGATGTACACACTAATTGGAGGGCAATTGAGTGAGCCCCTTCAGAAAACCCACATGAGATAGCTTTTCCAACGAAAAAACTGATGCAACAATGTTACAACATGATCTCTGACCGCACATCTCATATATGATGGGTCCCGGTCTCATGGTGAGATATACAGACCTGTTGGAAGGCAATTGAGGAGTCCATATCTTCTGCCAACACCATTTCTACCAACCTCCTAAGATCAAATGGGGACACGTGTCCCTTACATGCTTTATGCTCTCTCATGTGTGAATTAATGGGACGGACGTATACTCTATCCCGTTGAGTTCAAATCTGCACCCCACTCGATTTTGCCCTTACAAATGCCCCACACGCTCAATGTGCGTCACTTGTCCCTTCACACGGTTTCGCTAATAGCGTGTGCGGGGCTAACGGGACATCCTTTAGCCCTTCCATTACCCTCCAAAAGTCTCAAACCATTTCATTCGAAAGACTAGGGTATCTCAAAGTTCCCTTCTCCCTCATCAGAGTTCCCTTCTCCTTCTCCTTCTCCGGCACCGGCGACCTACAACAACAACCGATGGTACTCTCCAGCTCACCTTTTCACACATTTTTTTTTATTTTTTTCTTTTTTTTCTGATATTTTTGTTTCCCAGAAATCAAAGAAACTGGCAACAGAGTTCTCTTCTCCTTCTCCAATTATCCACAGGTTATACCTCATTCATTGGCAATTTTCTAAGTGATATCAATCCTTCAGACCATGTTGCCAAGTGGAAATTCAAGGTCATTTGGGGTTAATTTGGTTCATTCCATGAAAGAAGCAAGAACTATTTCGATCTCCCAAGGATGGACACAGGACTAGACTTGAACATCATACCCAAAAGAAAGTATTTAGGCCTCAAGGAAATCCTAATTCTGTGTCCATTTCCTCCAAAGGATGCTTGCACCCATGGAATGACCAACCAAAAGTAAACTCTTTGGGATCCTTCTCAAGAGCCCCATGGAGAAAGAAAGAGAGAGAGAGAAAGAGACCTGAAAGTCATTGTTGACCAGCATTCCAACGGTGCAAAAAACATTGGAGAAGATGGAAGTTACAATCTAAATCTCCATTACCAGAGAGTAGGTTATGCCCTACTTCAATTTCTTGTACATGAGCTCAATCAGAGGAGGCGTCAATCCATTAATCAGAGCTTGCATGGAGGGCAATAACTATTGCACCCATGGTCGACAAAACAACTGAGTTTATGGAGTAAAACATGAACCTTTGCCCAACCAAAAGGAATGCAAACACTGTTGTAAAGATCAACTGAGTCGAACCTATCAAACCACCGGTTGAGACAAGTAAACAGGACAAACCAAAGCCATATAAGTAGTTGGCGAAGCCATTGACGAGGTCGAGAATTGTGCAGGCAACAAATAGATAGGTATTCATGAAGAAGAGCTTGGCATCTTTATTACTTTTAACTCTACCGTCGGTTTCTTTGATTTCTAGAAAATGAAAATATCAGAAAAAAATGTGTGAAAAGGTGAGCTGGAGAATACTGTCGGTTGTCGTTGTAGGTCGCCGGTGCCGAAGAAGGAGAAGGGAACTTTGAGATATCCTAGTCTTTCGAATGAAATGGTAGTCTTTCAAATGAAATGGTTTGAGACTTTTGGGGGTAACGGAAGGGGCTAATGGACGTCCCGTTAGCTCGCACGCGCTACTAGCAGAATTGTGTGAAAGGACAGGTGGCACACATTGAGTGTGTGGGGCATTTGTGGAGCGTGTGGGACATTTCTTCCATTCCATTTTAATCTTCCGCCTAAACGCCAAAAACCTTACCACTTGGACCTCTTCTCTTATCACTGCGGCGATGATCATTTTCACCGGCGACGATGGCAGTGATTCTAGCAACCGACAGCGACCCACTCTGGTTTACATTTTTTATTACCCCTGCACGGTCTCTAGCAACACAACGGTTCCTTTCAAAATCTCTTAAGCTCCCATTTCGGCCAAGGAATACAAAGCAATGATTGCATTTGCAACAAAAACAAATCTACAATGACAACAAAAATATACTTATCTGTTAGCTCATTCAAAAGCAAATACGAGAGATGGAGAGAGCATTGGGGCAATGGGGATGGCGGGGGCACCTAAAAGCATCAAAAGCATGCCAATTAGGTGAATTGGAGCCATGAGAATTAGTGACCATATAAACCGTAGAGGCAAAATGGAATACAAGTATCACCGTGCTGAACTGTTGGAGCTTTTGTTTGGTCGTGGTGGAATGGAAAGGAGGAGCCAGGATTCGAGGTGGGGTTTTGCCATTTTCGTAGTGATTGTAGAGATCGCGTTGTTGCTGTTGTGGTCGTTGTAGACAGGTAGAATAGGACCCAAAGAAGGATAAGTCATGAGAATTGGAGAGATAACCCAGAAAAAAAAGGTTATTTTTCTTCCCCTCTCTCAGTCTCCTATTTCCTCTCCCTGTACTATTTCTCTTTTCCATCCTTTTCTTTAATTCTCAAGAAAATGATTTTTTGGGGCAGGTTTTGATTAGAGTCACGTGGATGGCAAGGTTGCACATGAGAGACAGAGAGATGAAAAAGGAGATAGAGAAAAAAATGAAACTCATAAAAAATGTGAAGTAGAGAGGATCATCGTCGGCTGCTAGAGTCGTTGTCGCCATCGCCGATGAAAATGATCACCACCGGCGGTGCAATGATAACTAGAGAGGTCCAAGCAGTAGGATGAACTAAACATCCTGCTATTCTTGAAATATTTTATGAAAATAAAATTTGACCAATCAAGCTCAGATATAAGCAAAAACTACTGATTGTAGCGAACATAACTATTGATTGTCGCTAGTTGCAAGACTGATTGTTGTTGGTGGGTTTTGGAATCCTCTGTACTAGGAAGAGATGAGAAAATAGAGAGGAATGAAAGGAATTAAAAAAAAGGGAAGTAGAGAGAATCACCATCAGGTTGCTAAAGTTGTCATTATTGTTGCCATCGCCGGTGAGAATGGTCACCGCAACGGAGTGCTGAGAGGAAGACGACGTTTTAGGCAGGAGATTAAAGGGGATAGTCTATTTGAGGAGCTAATGGGATTCACCAAACGTCTGTCCCATTAACTCACACATGCAAGGATAGAAAACAAGTGTAAAACACATGTCTTCATCTAGAGCTCTTGGTAGGTGGTTGATTTTACAACTCATGTTTCAGCTTTCTGAATTTTTATCAAACACAACTTCATGGGATTCACACCAGTCCCCCACAAGGGGGTGCCCACAACGTCCCACAACACATCCCAACTATGTATTGGGAAATCTATCGATGATGTCTCATCATTTCTTGTACTTATCATCAAGAGATGTTCCCAATATATGGCTGAGATGTGTTATGGGACATTGTGGGGTGCCCCCATGTGGTGTGAACTCAACTTCATGGCATTCCAAGTTTCTCAACTCATGGAGTGCCATAAGCCTTAAGCCATTGGATGAAAGTCCTCCCAAAAGGTGAATGGATGATTAAGGTGGTGTTTGATCAATTCGAAATCTAGAAAGTTAAAAATATATTAAAAGTGTCTAAAATCTGAAAAGAGGCATAGATGCCTTTTTACTTTTTAGATGATCTAAACAGATAAAGTTGTTTGTGTTGGATCAATTTACAACATCTAAATTTATTTTATTTTACTATTTTACCCCTAGAACAGGCTATTTTGTAATTGTGAATTCTATTTCATATAAAATAACTTATCAAATTCAAAATAATATTGAAATTACACAAAAATTTAATAAAAATAATTAATCACTAATAAAAAATATTAAAATGATTAAAATTTAATAAAATTAATAATTATTTAATTATTAATAATATTTAAATAAAATGAATAAAATAAATAATAATTGATAATAATTACTAAAAATAATTAATAATTATAAATAACACAATAAAAATTAATAAAATAATTAATCACTATAAAAACATTAAATGATTAAAATTTAATAAAAACTAAAATAATCAACACAAATTAATAATTAATAATTATTTATTTATTTATTAATAATATTAAAATAACACAAATAAATACTAATTACTAAAATTAATTAATAATTATGAATAACACAATAAACATTAATAAAAATAATTAATGTTTAATAAAAATATTAAGATAATTAAAAATTAAGAATTAGTAAAAATAATTTATAATTAATAATAAGTGTTGTTGTTATAATTATTATTATTATTACTCAACCGTCGTCGCTACAAGTTGCAACGGTGGTGGCAGGAAGACAGGAGAGAGAGAGAGAGAGGGGAGGTTGAATGGATTCACGAAAGAGTGAAAATACGAGCGACATTCTTCCTTCCCGTCTCTGAGAGCGAAAACACGAATGACTAGGTTTTTTGGGTTGGGGTTAAACAGGGGTAGCACATGTCATTAAAAGATTGGAAGGGTAATTTTGACAATGCACCGGCTTTGAAACGCGTCTAAGCACATTAAGAGCAGACCCACACACTATAATCTTCAAATCTGAAAACAAAACTCAGACCAGTCTTAAGATGAGACACCAAACGGGTTTGAGGTCTGAAAAGCA